TCCGTTGTTTTCTGACTTATATCATTCAGTATAAGTTTAATCATTAGTAGTTAATCTTCATGAAACAAGAATTTCGCTCAGGGTCACTAGAACGTCGCTTGTGTGGGTAGCTACTATATCATATGCATTTGTATAATGAATTACAATGAGAAATTTTTGATTTGATTATGAATAAAACTTTTGCTTCTTGCATTATCAGCATAAATAAAGTTTGCTCATAAGAAAGTAAAAAAAAAAAAAAAACTTTTTTTTTAAATGTTATGGATGATGAAAATTTTCTATTGCTCAATTTTGAGTCTAATTTAAGTAGATAATTTTTCTCCGTCAGTGTATTTGGCTATAAAACATATGACGTCCTAAATGCCTTCATGAAGGACATTTTTAAGATGATTGACTAACAATAATAATTGTGATGATTGGCCAATAATAATAGTAATAAAACCATTAATTGCATATTTAATTAATCCTTTGAGATGTTTGCAATTAAATCCCGATCAAACTATTAGAGTTTAGTTTCTTAACCACTATATAAAGCACATGTAGATAATTTAATCGCTTAAAATTGAATTTATAATGAATTCTTAGCATTTCGCAACTTATTTCTTATTTATTTATTTATCATTACAAGACATGTTACTCTAATGATGCGAATTCAAACTAATCCTAATTAGTACATAAGTATCATGAGCGTAGAGAAGTAAATTTAAGTATGACAAGCTCTACTTTTTTAGGGTTCAAACATAATGCATTAAAAATTGTATAAATATAGATGTGATCGTTATTAAAAATTTTGACAATGTATTTAATATCTAGATATATAGTTTATTGTTTGATTTAGGAAATGTAATACACACCTATACTTTATCTCCGTTTTGACACTGAAAACAAATAAAAAAGTTTAAACAAAACTTCTAGTGTGTGTTTTGGAATTTAATAGAACTTAATTCATTTTCAAGCTTTAGATGTTTGTGTCGGTTCTTAATAAAATTATATTTTAAAATGACTTGAGGTGTTTCTGTACATTCAGTATCAAGGTTCATAATTCCAAATGAGTAAAGTTTCCTAAATATTTACGCTTCGCATTTAAATATGCAATAAACAGAAAAACACATGTTTTATTATGCAATTTCTTTTCCGATGAAAAGAATTCTTTTCTTTTGGGCGGGGGAAGGATGTCTTGAATAATTCAGGAAGATACCCAAATACTTTTGCAAAAATTAAATATAAAATTCACGCTTTTTCCTCTCTTTACCCCAACCCCCAATGTCGTCTTCGAAATGTAATTAAAATGGAAGAAATGGAATTAAGAATATGTGGCACACAGAGAAAGCGGCGTTTTCATTTTGAAAGGAGTTACAAATTTCAGTATTTCTCTCCTACTGCTCATGTCAACCCTACAAGGAATGCATAGCGAAGTTCATTACCTATCACTGTTAAGCTTTGGAAGGAGTTCTAGACCAAATAATGGTTCCCGCTGTCTTCCAGTGTTTGCACTGAACTCGATTTGTTAATTAATTCCAAGAGTTCGTTCTTCCTGTGAGCCATTTTTCTTGCTCCCGATCTCTCTGATTGAATTCTCAGGATATGATTAACTCCAAGATGACTTATTACGAAGCCGCACGCGCTGTGACTTAATTGAATTCAAAGTAGGGTTACAAGGAAATAAATCTATGACTCGTCGCGGCTGTGACATGTTTTTGTTCTCAATTTCAATGCATGTTTTAGATGCATGCTTAGATGTTTAATATTCTAGGGAAGACGCCAATACAGAAGGAATTAAATGCAAGAATCTCAACTAGTGTAATGTGTTTCAGTTTTCGTTATCTCCAAGGAATCATTTTCTGTTATGAAGATGAAATGGTGCGTTAAATCCTCTCAATAATATACATCACTACTGAGTCTACTGCATTATAACAAAGGAAGTCATGAAATTTTTATAAAACAAGCTGGATTTTATTAAAGCAATGAAATTCTTATATCATTTCTAACGCAATAAATGCGAAGAGTAGTTGCTAATACCAGAAATTTGTCCATACACACTGAATAAATCTGGAACAATTTTTTTTATCCAAACTAAAAAGATAAATTTGAGAAAGTATGTAATTCTTTCACATTCTTTGTATGTAAGAATGATATAATGCACGCATTTGTTATTTCCATAACAACAATTTCTGTGGTTAAATTATTTATCTATTATGCGTACAAACAACTTTCAGACTGTTTTAGGACGAAAACTGCCGGCGTAAAACAGATGCAAGGAAGAGCATTGTAAAGAACCAGGGACAACACAAGAGATGACAGGAATTTTTTTTTTTTATTTTGATTAGTTGAGCGCATTCTTTTCGACTGTTCATGCCACTAGGGGTTCATATTTCGGAAAATATATTTATGACCACCCTGCATATATGTAATATATATATATATATATATATATATATATATATATATAAAGGTAAATTAAAACAACTGGTCATGATTTAGAAGATAGGACGCCGTATTTACTTGAAAACCATGCTTGAACTATACATACAACTGCTTAACTAATTATGGATAATTAGAAGTCATTGAAAATTTCTAATGATAATTAAATTATTAAGCGAAATTCGCTTTTAAAAATGTGTTACAAACACTTATTTCTGAAAAAAAAAAAAAAAAAGTATGTTAGTCGTATATTAATTCGTCTTGAGAAATTCCTCCCTCTGTGACATTTTTCACAGTAGATTTGAAATATACTTGTTTACTCATGCTTTTTCAAGTTTTTTTAGTTCAGTTCATAAACTAAACTCCGCTTTATTCAGCTCTAGATATTTTTGAAGGTAATATAGCTTTACACTTTTACCAGTAATAAAAAGGAGTATTTAATTAAGGGAAAACAGATTATATCTACCATACTTTCACTCTAAATTTATTTTAAGATTTTCAACAGGATTTAATAATAAGATCTCAAATTCCAAGTTACTTAAACTAGAAAGAATATTTGTTGATTCAAGTGGACTAAGAAATGGGTAGCAGTCCATTACGTGAAAGGGGGGATATTAACAATCCTGAAGGCAGCCGTTACTGAATTATTTTAAATGTATACTCGCGTATCGCTATATCCCTCTACAACAGTAGTGCAACTATTTCTATATCTTTTATTACCTATGAGGAAAAATTTCAACAAAAATTTCACTCTTATATTTCAATCGCCCCTTAATTTCAATCTGAGAAACCAACGTAAACGATGTGGAAAATATGTGAGTTAAATAGAGAAATTTTTTATCGAGATAGAATAAAAAGCACGTTAGAAAAATCAGTCTGTCTTTGTAAATAACTTACATGAGACATTCTCAGTCAAAATTATAACAGTTTGCCTGATATAATTTTAAATAAAGAAGTGAAGTTTAATTAAATTAAAAAGAACTGTTTTAAAATATAAAAGATTTAAAAATAAGTTACTAGCAAAGAAAGGTAACAAAGTGCTCAGAACAAAGTAAAGTAACAAAGTGCTCAGAAGTGGGTGGTTAGAAAAAACCTAAATGTTAACTCACGCTTAATAGAAAAATGCTGTATATTTCAGAGATGTATAACAGCTTAAGCTCTGCTTTAAAAAACAAGCATATATTACATCATTTCGCGAAAATATGACACTTAACATGGATGTGCTTTTTTTCCGTGTAGAATGTGTGTCAATTACCCTAATATTTGTATTTAGCGAGTGGTGATTTTTTGCGTTTTGTGGTTATTTAAAAGAACTAGCACTCATAATTACTGACATAAAGATTTTTCAAAAGTTCTTAGGGACCTCGATAGTATAAACGAGACATCGCTGTGTGGAAAATTCTGCTTATTTGCAAAGTAGCTATGAATCAGTTACAACGGGGTCTTCATTCCTACATCTAATAGACAGTAAAGGTTTTCGTAAAATCATCGTCAGTATAAGGCTAACTTTTACCTATACTTATAAACACTTTTTTTCTTTTTCTTTTTTTCTTTATCTCTCTCTTTCTGTTTTTAATATAGTGAAAACTCCCTTAGAATGATTGAACTTGGATTCAACGATTTTCCGACACTTTCGAATTCGCAACACCGAGTTCAGCATGTGGTAAAATTATCGTGTTTTTTAAGCATTTTGGAGTCAACATGCAACGTTGCTCGAATGCGTATACCGAACTTGTATTTGAGTGCAAACAGATTTATATGTTATTCAGCTAAAAGTATTGCGTTGAGCAATATTTATTTGATGTAAAACTGTAAACACTGGATACATTCTACGTGAACATATATATATTTTTTAATTTAGTCGATACATATTTTTTACAGAACATTTATAATTAGATTTACTATAGCTCAAATGTTTTATAACTTTGCTTTATTTCTTAAAATTTCTTGTTTTGTAGAAAATGCTCCTTTTTATCATAACATACAAGCAGGATAGTACTGATAGACGTAAAAATAGTCAACGAAATTGCTTTGGCGAATTTACAAAGTCGGCAATTGAGTTGGCGACTTTTGCGGGCTTGTGAATAATAAGAAAGTACCGATTTATTTTACAGGTTATATAGTTGCTTTAAAGACGTTCATTAAATGTGTGTAACTAACACTAGTTTTTTTTTTTTTCAGGAAATGTGATAAATAAATTGTGTCTAGATCTAAACTATGGAAACTATGGATGCCTAACCTAGATCTAAACTATGCATTCTCAAATTTGACAACTGGTTGCCCATACCATTTACTCCATGACATCACACACAAAGAAGCGATAATTCCTTATAAGTGTTCACATATATTCTAAGAAATGTTGATAATAGCTGACGAATGGTGGTCTTCATCAGCTATTTTACTGTAACAAGAACACCACTATAACTAATGTCTGCGAAACTATTTTGGATCATCGATATACAAATGATTCATTGTGTTGTTTTCAGCAGAGATCAAATACGCAGCAATAATAATTTTAATATATATTTATTACATATTGGCACATACGTGTTTTAATAATGAAATATATTTATTTTCAGGGTCACAATATTTTCTATCACAGAGTTGTTATTGAGATGACAGATGCAAAAGAGAAGGAACTTTTGTTCGTGCAGTGCGTCATACCAGGGGATTTTAACATGGAATTTGTCAGGATAGACTGGCAAAGAGAAAGTGTCCCTTACAACTTCTCCTTCCCTACGTAAGTTTATAATTTGTAAATACTACAGTTTTTGCAATATTGTGCAGTATTATAATGGATTGATAAAAACCGAAATTAAGGACATGCTACGCATTTTTATATATAAGAATAATAGTAGATAATTAATCATTTCCTTGTGTGGTTTACATTTTTGGCGATCTATGAACACTTATTTATATTTAATTAATACATACTTACTAAAATGACATCCCTTTGTGTTTTCCATCATATTCAGATTTTATAGCTTGTCTACCATATAAATTACAGTAATCAGTGAAGATTAGTTTGACTTTTGTTACCCATTCTCCCAACAACGCATAATAGTAATAATGTTATGGAAAATTCTTATGTATTTTTTGCTGTGTATAATTATTGCGTATTATTTTACTGTGTTTAATGAATTTGTATTGAGCTTATTTAAAATTAATGTATAATATTTAATGCTGTTAAACTTTACGACAAAGCTCCTTTAAGTTTGGCAGAATATGTGTTACAGTTAAAAGGGCGCGGGTGTATTTCCGTTTCTCACGAGTCGGCTTCTTTGGAGGTTAGAGGTCAAACTGCCCAGCTGCATTTTTCTCTTTTCGCGGGGGTTGAAAACACGTGTTTTGCTCGTTCAGAGGCGAATAGTTCTAAGGGGCGGCGATTTTTTTGACAGAGTTATAGGTTGGAAACATTCTTCTGTTGCGTTGGAAAGAAAGGGTCTGTCATCTTGTAGAAAGTTCTGGATTTCTGAGAATTTTAGAGGCTATTTATTACTTTTTTTTCTAGTTGGCTAGAGGGAGTCCAGGTTTCCTTAAGATTGGTTAAATTTTTAATTTTAGTGTTGTTTGAGCCAATAGTGATTTTGAGGCGTTTCTTGGTGAGTGTCAACCGAGTTTTCTTAAGCCGTTGCACGGGAGGCAGGAGAGATTTTTTTTTTGGACTGAAAAAGAGATTTTTAGAGAAGACTTTTTTAGCAGATTTGTTTCGGATTTGCTTCTTTGACGGCGGCACCTTCGGGGCCGGCCGTGGTCAGTGAGGTGTTGGGATGGAGCGGAGGAAAAACGCAGCGGTACTTCTGGGGGTCAACTGCGGTTTACAGTTAAGCTAGTTAGTTGATAGTTGATAGTTGACGGGGGACGTGTGCACCATCCCTTTACCGTAATGGTTAATTGGCATATGCAACACGTCCACCTCTATCTTGAGCCAGATGGGCCACACAGGCGCCTCGCACCATACACCGAAACCCAGCGACCAGGCCATCCAGGTGGCAGTCCAAAAGACCAAAGAAGCCCCCAGAAGCATGTTCACACCAACCGCCCGGGCCTAGTATTTATTGAGTCAAAGTTCAACAAATACATGGCCAGACAAGGGCTCAAAAAAAAAATAAATAAATAGATAAATAAAGGGTACATTTGAAGTTTTGACAAAGCATAAGATTACAAAGGTGCAAGTGCCAGTTTTGAATAAATACTAGAATCACATAGACATAATTAGAACAAAACACATACAGATAGCGATAACAATAGAAAACCAAAGGAGTAAACACCATTACAAAACTACTACTGCTACATACTACAAAACTACTACTAGAATACTTACAAACAGTACTACAAACTGATACAATGCTAAATATTACAAAACTGCTACTGCTGCTACATACTAGGCTGATAATAATGCTGATAGTATGATATCGATGATGTAATGATCTTAATACTGATGGTAAGTTCAATACAATAGTTAGTGTACAAAGCAAGGATACAATACATAAATACATTATGCAACTATATAAATACCAATGCAAGGTAAAGAGGATACATTATACAACTATATATACACGCATACACACATATATACATACATACACATATACAGATATATACCAATACAAGGTAAAACGATACTAATGATTCTGTACGAGATGCAAGACAAGATAGATAATTCAATATAAGATCAATAAGCCATATTGTTCAATACAATAGTTAATGCAAAGTTAATAAAACACTATTTATATTACTATACCAACTGTATATTTCCTATATTAGTGCAATTTTATACGACGCATATCTATACGATGCTCACAATTTAATATATATTACACAGTACTGTATTGCAGGGAACTTATAATTCAATTTTATACAAGATGATACATATCTATACTATGCTCACAATTTAATGTATATATTATATAATACAGTATACAGTACAATATGATTTACAACTAATACGTAAGATAATGGATGCTATATCATTCAATTACAAAAGTTAATGCAAAATTAATGATACATTATTTATATTACGATACCAACTACACATTTCCTGTATTGCAGGGGACTTATAGTGCAATTTTATTATGTATACGATGCTCACACAACATTGCAATTTCATATAAGATGATACATATCCATACGAAGCTCACAATTTAATATATATATTATACAATACGGTTATACGATATAATATAATGTACTGCAAATACGTAAGATATGTGATACAATAGGTAAATTAACATGCTTACAGGGTTAGTATACAAGACACAACAATAGGTACAATACAATACTAAGAGTAAATAAATAGAGTATGTGACAGTATATAGACAAATGCAATGTAGAAAAATACATATTGTCAAGTAATTGGTAATAATTCTATGCAATATGCAATACAAGACATATGATACAGTATAAAATCGATAAGCTACGTCTATGATACTATTTATAATTTAATGGAATATTTAAAGCAAAAAGAGACCAAAATACTACTTTAACTTTCATACAGTATTTTAACACAATTGCTAGTTCAGTAAAATAATTAATACAATATTTAATTCAGTACGTATCTCAGGGTATAAAAAGAAGTGCAATATATATATTCTTAATAGTATGATGCCTATAAGGCAATGTTCTTAATAACTAAAGCGAATTAAATGCAATACTTTGTATACAATACACAAGAGCAACACTTCAGTACAATACTGAGGATAAAAAGACATATTTTGCAACAGTATAAATATACAAATGCAATGTATAAAATACCTATGATCAATTCAATATTATTAATTCTGTGCAATATGCGATATACAATGCAACAATATAAGTTAATATAATCCAATCTAAAATCTAAAGTCTAAAATTCTGCATGTAATTCAATAAAATAGTTAATGCCAAGTTGAATCAAGACTACTTATAACGTTATGCTAATAATCCAGCTAATAATCCAGTTTCTGTATTGCAAAGAATTTAATTTACAGTTCCATACTAAAGCATACATAGCGATACGATGTTCATAATTTCAATATGTTGCATCACATATTCTTAGGGTAACTTAATAAACTCAACATAATATTACATAACTACCAATAGTTATTACAATGCTCGATACAATATTTTTGATATATAACCAGATTAGAATACTTAATATGTAGCTTGTAATTCAGTAAGATAGTAATACCATATCTATAGTTTGAGGTTGCGAGTATAATACTTATTGTGCAATATCTTATAGTGCATTTAAAATACAATACAATTTTTAATAATATTTGTAACAATACTGGGACTATTAAAAAGAAAGAATATAGTTATAATATGTAAATAGACAAGAATGCAACTGGAGTGTACAAAAATACAATTGTATTATGAAAACACTATGTAAACAGACAAGAATGCAACTGGAGTGTACAAGAATACAGTTGTATTATGAAAACAGGAACAAACCATTAACATTAGACAACCTGACATAGATCAGATCCATAACTGTGGAGAATGTCCATAATTTTTGAGAGTTTTCTGATAAGGTACTTCTGCTTAATTAAAAATTTACTAAATGCTAGTTGATTATCCACAGGGAAAGGAATGTGAAATTCCTCCGTTAACGGGCATGTAGTAATATAATGTTCAGGTATGCCTAGAGTTCCGCAGACACAATATTCACTATTTGCAATTCCATGCTTGTAAAAGTAGCTTGGAAATGGACCATGCCCCGAGATATATATCTTACTAGTTGATGATTTGTTATCTGACGACATTGATCCACATACGTAATATGATTGTACGTTCGTCGACCGGTTTCATCAGTATCCCATTCTAGTTGCCATTGGGATATAACTTTTAAAAGAAGAGCTCGTTTTAAGTGAGATGTTGGCCACTTAAGAATCACTTCTTCAGCCTCGGCATCGGTATTTTCGGCAGCTGATTTGGCTAACTTATCTGCCAAAGTATTACCGTGATCCCCAGCATGGCCCTTAGTCCAAGCTAGCGTGATGTTATTTCCCACTTGATTACGAAGTTCACATTGGATGTCCGAGATAAGCGAAGAAGAATGTCTGGGGTTTTGAATCGCTTGAAGCGACGAAAGACTATCAGTGATAATTATTGCCTCCATAGCACCACTTGTTTTACAGTGTTGAACTGCTTTGAGGATGGCTAGGGCCTCCGCTTGAAATACACTATTATTTCCATGGAGATGACCCAGCCACTGATAAATTGACTGACCATTATGAAAGGCTACAAGGGCACAGCCTGTCTGTTGATCTATTTTAGATCCATCAGTGTAATATTGAATGCTTGGGATAGGTGGCAGTGTTACGTCCTTAAGGAAAATCCGAAGTCCTGTTCCTTGAAGGACTGGATGCACATCCAAATGTTGTGAGGGTTGTTCATAGTGCAATGGTGTGAAAAGTTCATCAAATAGGATGAAAGGTTTTTTCAAAACCTTGACGGATTGTATTGCTGCTTCCTGCAGAATACGTAGATGAAGAGGGATCAGTCCCGCCATGACATTTAATGCACTGGATGAGGTAGTACGAAACGCCCTAGTTATCTGTAAGGCAAATTGACGCTGGAGACTTTGCAAGTGGCGCACTTTGCGACCCTGCATGGGTTCAGCCCATATAGCAGCCGCATAGGTGACCATTCTCTCGATAACGGTGAGATAAAGAACCTTTTGTATATAGGGACTAATTCCCCATCCACGACCCTGCATTTGACGCAATTTACATGCAATTATAACAGTTCGTCTCTTTA